TGTAACTTTCTTCTTTCTGTCAACTAAGTGTGTGTATTCATTACTAGGGTTTGGTCTCTTCATTCCTTTGCACATTTTAAGCAGGAATAGATGAGGTCAAGCCCATTTGCAGGTTACTTTTTTGTTTAGTTGAACTTTAAAGGTATTTTTGCATATATCATATATAACCATGTGTACGTTGCATTATTTATACTGTATGATTACATGGCATACATAGAATAAAAACATAAGCCATAACAGATTTCAAAAAATTATCTCTAGCAGAATTAGAATGTCCTTCCTATCTTTTAGGAAAGGAGCTACAAAGGGTCTATACAGTTGGCCTTCCATATTAGTGGGTTCCACATCCATGGATTCAGATAACTTCAGATTGAAAAAATTTGAAAAAAAAAATCCAAAAAGCAAAACTTGAATATGCCACAGGCCATATGCTTTAAATCCATGAGAATTAAGGGCTGTATAGGCGTTGTTTTAGGTATTACAGGTAATCTAGAGATGATTTAAAGTATACAGGAGAATGTGCATAGATAATATGCAAATACTAAGCCATTTTAATAAATGCTGTGAGCATCCTTGGATTTTGGTATTCTCAGGGTTTGCTGGAATCAGTGTCCCTTGGATACCAAGGGATTACTGTACCCACATTCTATTCCTTTTTTTTTTTTTTTTTGAGTTGGAGTCTTGCTCTGTCACCCAGACTGGAGTGCAGTGGCACCATCTCAGCTCATTGCAAGCTCCACCTCCCAGGTTCAAGAGAGTCTCCTGCCTCAGCCTGTTAAGTAGTTGGGATTACAGGTGCATGCCATCAATGCCTGGCTAATTTTTTGTATTTTTAGTAGGGACAGGGTTTCATCATGTTGGCCAGGCTGGTCTCGAACTCCTGACTTCAGGTGATTCACCTGCCTCAGCCTCCCAAAGCACTGGGATTATAGGCCTGAGCCACCGTGCCTGGCCAACTGTACCTGCATTATATTCTTAAAGTCCAAACAAAACAGAAAAAGTGCTAAATTAATAATTTATTTTAGGCCTGGCACAGTGGGTCATGCCTATAATCCCAGCACTTTACAAGGCCAAGATTAGAGGATTGCTAGGGCCCAGGAATTCAAGTTGAGCCTGGGAAACATAGGGAGAACCTATCCTTACCAAAAAAGTTTTTAAATTTGCGGGGTGTGGTGGCATATACCTGTGGTCCCAGCTACTCCAGAGGCTGAGGCGGGAGGATCACTTGAGCCATGAAGGTCAAGGCTGCAGTGAGCCATGATGGTACAACTGTGCTCCAGCATGGGCAAAAGATCATGGCCTGTCTCAAACAACAAAAACAAAAAAAATTATTTATCTATTTATTTATTTAATTGTACTTTAGGTTCTGGGGTACATGTGCAAATCATGTAGGATTGTTGCATAGGTACATACATGGCAAGGGGTTTGCTGCTTTCATTCCTCCCATCACCTATATCTGGTATTTCTCCCTTCGTTATCCCTCCCCACCCTCCCCACCCCCCACTGTCCCTCCCCTAGCCCCCCACAACTAACCGTAGTATGTGATGCTCCCCTCCCTGTGTCCACGTGTTCTAATTGTTCAACATCCGCCTATGAGTGATAACATGTGGTGTTTGGTTTTCTGTTCTTGTGTGACTTTGCTGAGAATGGTGGTTTCCAGATTCATCCATGTCCCATTCTAACTGGCATGAGGTGGTATCTCAATGTGGTTTTTATTTGCATTTCTCTAATGACCAGTGATGACGAGCATTTTTTCTTATGTTTGTTGGCCTCATATATGTCTTCTTTTGAAAAATGTCTGTTCATACCCTTTGCCCACTTTTGAATGGGTTTGTTTTTTTCTTGTAAATCTGTTTTAGTTCCTTGTAGATTCTGGATATTAGCCGTTTGTCAGATGGATGGATTGCAAAAATTTTTTCCTGTTCTTTTGGTTGCTGGTTCACTCTAATGATTTGTTTCTTTTGCTGTGCAGAAGCTCTGGAGTTTAATTAGATCCCATTTGTCTATTTTGGCTTTTGTTGCCATTGCTTTTGGTGTTTTAGCCATGAAGTCCTTGTCTATGCCTATGTCCTGAATGGTTTTGCCTAGGTTTTCTTTTAGGGTTTTTATGGTATTAGGTCTTATGTTTAGATCTTTAATCCATCTGCAGTTAATTTTAGTGTAAGGTGTCAGGAAGGGGTCCAGTTTCTGCTTTCTGCACATGGCTAGCCAGCTTTCCCAACACCATTTGTTAAACAGGGAATCCTTTCCCCATTGCTTGTTTTTCTCAGGTTTGTCAAAGATCAGATGATTGTAGATTTGTGATGTTGCTTCTGAGGCCTCTGTTCTGTTCCATTTTTCTATGTCTCTGTTTTGGTACCAGTACCATGCTGTTTTGATTACTGTGGCCTTGTAGTATAGTTTGAAGTCAGGCAGCATGATGCCTCCAGCTTTGTTCTTTTTGCTTAGGATTGTTTGGGCTATACGGGCTCTCTTTCAGTTTCATATGAAGTTTGAAGTGATTTTCTCCAGTTCTATGAAGAAGGTCATTGGTAGCTTGATGGGGATAGCATTGAATCTATAAATTACTTTGGACAGTATGGCCATTTTCATGATGCTGATTCTTCCCAACCATGACCATGGAATGTTTTTCCGTCTGTTTGTGTCCTCTCTTATTTCACTGAGCAGTGGTTTGTAGCTCTCCTTGAAGAGGTCCTTTACATCCTTTGTTAGTTGTATTCCTAGGTATTTTATTCTCTTTGTAGCAATTGTGAATGGGAGTTCACTTTTGATTTGGCTCTCTGTTTGTCTGTTATTGGTACATATAAATGCTTGTGATTTCTGCACACTGATTTTGTATGCTGAGACTTTGCTGAAGTTACTTAGCAGTTTCAGGAGATATTGGGCTGAGATGATGGGATCTTCTAAATATACAATCATGTTGTCTGCAAATAGAGACAACTTGGCTTCCTCTTTTCCTAATTGAATATGCTTTATTTCTTTTTCTTGCCTGATTGCTCTGGCTAGAACTTCCAGTACTATATTGAGTAGGAGTGGTGAGAGAGGGCATCCTTGTTTAGTGCCAGATTTCAAAGGGAATGCTTCCAGTTTTTGCCCGTTCAGTATGATATTGGCTGTGGGTTTGTCATAAATAGCTTTTAATATTTTGTGATACGTTCCATCAATACCTAGTTTATTGAGGGTTTTTAGCATAAAGGACTGTTGAATTTTGTCAAAGGCCTTCTCTGCATCTATTGAGATAATCATGTGGTTCTGTTTATGTGATGGATTATGTTCATAGACTTGCATATGTTGAACCAGCCTTGCATCCCCAGGATGAAGCCTGCTTGATAATGATGAATAAGCTTTTTGATTTGCTGTTGCATTCTGTTTGCCAGTATTTTATTGAAGACTTTTGCGTCGATGTTCATCATGGATATTGGCTTGAAGTTGTCTTTTTTTGTTGTGTCTCTGCCTAGTTTTGGTATTAGGATGATGTTGGTTTCATAAAATGAGTTGGGGAGGATTCCCTCTTTTTGTATTTATTTATTTTTGAGAAGGATTCTTGCTCTGTCTCTAGGCTGGAGTGCAGTGGTGTGATCTTGGCTCACTGCAACCTCTGACTCCCTGGTTCAAGCAATTCTCCTACCTTAGCCTCCTGAGTAGCTGGAATTACAGGCATGCAACATGACACCCAGCTAATTTTTGTATTTTTGGTAGAGACAGGGTTTCACCACATTGGCCAGGATGATCTCGATCTCCTGATGTTGTGATCTACCTATCTCAGCCTCCCAAAGTGCTGGGATTACAGGCGTGAGCCACTGTGCCTGGCCAAAATTTATTTTAGAATTTGTCTTTGACCTGGGTTAGTTATTAGATCTGAAATTCTGAAACTACTCTCATAAACTTTATCTACAGGGGAAACAATGTTAAAGGTCAATAGGCTACTCATCCTCTTTGCCTTCAGAGGCGTTATGTCATTTAACCTTTGCAACAGACCTATGTAATTATTATCATCAGCATTTTACAGATGATCAGAGATTCATTTGTACCTGAGGTAAGAAACACAAAATCTACCATCATAACCATTTTTAAGTGTACAGTTCACTAGATTTGCCTGTATCTACATTGTTGTTCATTTGTATAATTTTGAAAGTTTATGGCAGCGGTTCAAAAATAAAATGTCTCACCACAGTTAAAGATAATCTGGTAATTTGAAACTTCAAATGTTATAAATACATTAGAAACATTTGTATTGTTTCTAATGGCAAGGCAGTTATAAGGATTATAGTTCATGGATGTGGTAATTATCCAGAAATTCATTTTCTTTTGCCTACACTCTTCTCATTAATCATATTTTACCCTTTTGCTTGTATTTATGACATGGACTTACTTGGAGTCTTACATTGGAGGCATAGATCTGATTCATAGTATTATTTCACCTCCCAAAGATTGAAAAGAAAATAACAGTTTGATTCCATACCTCTCACATCAACCTGATTTGAAAGTTCCATGCAGGCCCAGTTTAGACAGAGCTACCGAATTTAAATTAGTAAGAGCTGAAGAAAAGCTAAGCATAAAATGGACAGAGCCCTTCTCAGCATAGCAGACATAAGCAGCAATAAATCAGTAAGTGCTAAAGCACAGGATCACTTTATTCTGGCTTTGTGCCATTTATAGACACTCAAACTTAAAATGAGCAGAAATCCTTTTGAACTTATATTTGCAAAACCTTGTGTCCATTCTTTTATGTTCTGGAATACCTTTTTTTTTTTCTGTTTATTTCCTCATACGATCATCTATGCTCTGTTGGGTGCAGAGTCTGCTTAGATGTGTTTGAGTGGCCCTGATTTACATGTGGTAGCTTGCTTACCCAGAGAAAGGTACTGGGGATTGTATTGGATGCAGTTTAGCTGTGGCTCAATAGAGGGAGTAGAGGAGCTGAGGGAGGAGAGAGAGTGAAAGAACGTGTCTGGTTAAGTAAGTGTTGTGTGTGCACACCAGGAGGAGGGGGGTGGGGTAGGGGGTGGTTGCCTCTAGCAGCTCCACCCTCACTTTGTCAGCAGGTAGAGAGCGTGATTGCAGTCCCAGGGGAGGGAGTCAGAGCTAGAACACCCATTACAAACCGCAGGCTTCCTGCTGTAGGGAGTTGATCCAGAATTGTCTTTCTGAAAGGAAGCACTCGAATCCTTTTGAACTTTCCAAGTCCATCCATGATTCAGAAATACTGCCTTCTCTCTCTGGGATTTTCTGTGTTTCTGATTGTGAATTGTCGTTGATGTATTTGCTACTTTGCTTCTTTTCTGTTTCAAGACTTGATCATTTTATATGCTGTTTGGAGAAAAAAAAGAACTTTTATTAGAAAGGAGTTTTCAGAAATGATTTTGAATTTTCTATAAGTGTTTAATCTAGTTCTTGGGACAGCAGCTCTCATCCTGGAATAAATTTCTGCCTTTGACCTGCATGGATTATTTTTTCAGGCTGCGGAATTTCTCGGCACCTACCTGTAGTATGGGGCACTTGGTTTGGTTGCAGAGTAAGAAGGTGGAAGAATGAGCTGCACTTGGTTAAGCAGTTGAAACCTTTTTTGAGCAGGATCTGTAAAAGCGTAATTGAATTTGTTTCACCCCCGTGGATTCCAGTGGGCCCGACAGCACAACAGGTTTGCAGATTTCTTTTGAAATTCTTTTTCCCCCCTTCCTCTGCCTCAGCAAAAGAAAAGAATCTATATAACAGGTTCATGCTTAATTGCTTGGCTTTTCAGCACTTATTCTGAAGACTTTATAAGATTTTAAAACTTGACCTTGGAACACAGAGGGCTTTGTGGATGAAATGTGTTTATATTTACTTAAGGGGGCACATTTAAAAAATCTTATTCCATGTTTGTACAAAGACCCAAATTTTCTTAGTGACTAGAAATAGCACAGATCTACTCTACTCAAGCTTATTTGTATTTTTTTCAGGGTATTCTACCTAGAGCCTATGGTTAATCACCTCCCTGCTCCCCTTACCTTTTATTCCCCACCCCCTCAAGGAATTTGAAAACATGTTAGGAATAGTGCTTTGTTTTCTCATGAACCTAGAAAATTTCAGATTATAAAATCTGGATATTAGTTTCCAAAAGCATCTCACGGGAAATCAAAGTGCTCGGCATTTCCAAGCTGGAGAATAAAATCTAGAATCCTTAAGAGATAAAGGAAAATGGAGACAGAAATATGAATTTTAACTGGGAAAAATAATTGGAAAGCTAACCTTTTCAAATACTCTATGAAAGTTGGAAAAGGTTGTTACGGTCAGGATTATCCTGTAATGTGTGAAGATACATAAATTAGCACCTAATTTATAGGCAAATTTTGGTAAAACACAAAAAATTATGGTATGTCTAAGTCCATGAAAAGTATGTAAATGCAGTGAGCCTAGAATCCTAGCCATACTGAAATACAGTTTAATGTGGAAACTTTTCTAAATACATGTTGTAGCATCTTTGGACATCAACATGTGGCCTGAAATTTTTATTGTTTCCTCTTCTTCTCCATTAAAAAAGAAGCCTCCTTGTAGTATTTAGTCATTTACCATTGACACATATTATGGCTTAAAAAGGGCCATCTCTTCCTTTTCTGAGCTGGAGTTCTTCACTCTCACCTTTGATGCATGGCCTTAGCTATTTACTTTGCCTTGTTTTGTTCATGAACATTGGGTTTAGTGCCTGGCAACTTGATGCATATGGAAGAGCAATGCCAAGTGATCTGACATAATATAAATTCAGGATGTGACATTCAATCACAAGCAAAGTTGGAAATTCCAAAGAGAAGTAGTGAGACCTTTACTAGTCACAGTGAAGATGGGAGAAAATGACATACCTGCAACAGATGTGGGCTGAAAATATCCTCTTCTCTGCCCAATCAGGAATGCCACCTGTTCTTGGGAATAAACTTTAGAGAAAGGAAGGGCCAAAACTACGACTTGGCTTTCTGAAACTGAAGCATAAATGTTCTTTTCCTCCATTTGTCTGGATCTGAGAACCTGCATTTGGTATTAGCTAGTGGAAGCAATATGTATGGTTGAAGTGCATTGCTGCAGCTGGTAGCATGAGTGGTGGCCACCAGCTGCAGCTGGCTGCCCTCTGGCCCTGGCTGCTGATGGCTACCCTGCAGGCAGGCTTTGGACGCACCGGACTGGTACTGGCAGCAGCGGTGGAGTCTGAAAGATCAGCAGAACAGAAAGCTATTATCAGAGTGATCCCCTTGAAAATGGACCCCACAGGAAAACTGAACCTCACTTTGGAAGGTGTGTTTGCTGGTGTTGCTGAAATAGCTCCAGCAGAAGGAAAATTAATGCAGGCAAGTATAACTTTATTATATTTCACTTTCCATCTGTTTGAAATATGCCTTTCTTCTTTTGTCTCCCAAATGAAATAACCATATACAGGCTTCTACTGCTTAGTTTTCTATTCCATAGAAAGAGTAGATACTGCCTTATTAATTCTAAAGCAAATTCTTATACTCCGTAAGAAATATATAAATCCTATATTTTAGAAAATTATCGCTTATGTTAAACTGGTATTGCATAACTACTTAGATACATATAATACAACCTTTTTTTCAAGTGATATATTTTGGGCACTAATTTTTGATAGATAAAATGTATGAGCTTACATTTAATTGACATGGGGATTGTACTTTACATCCTGTTGAAATTGAAGTAAGCACTAAGAAGCTTGATTTTAGTGGTCGGTAACCCCCGAAATTCTGGAATGCCCTTGGAGCATATTTGATTACTCTGTCACTTTTAAAATTCAGTCAAGCTTGAATGCTACAGCTGGCCTTACACCACATGTGGCACCCTATTGCTAAGCCCAAAATGGAGAGGACTGTATTACAAAATGGACACAAGGTGTAAACCTGCTTCCTGATCAGCTTGGCCTCATCCACACATAATTTTATCATTTTCAAGAATTTAAATTTAATATGTTTTTTATTGATCTGCTAAGTTTTTCAGACACAGTTTCGTAGGCTTTCCGGCTATGAATTTTGCCTGTATCTCATTCATACATGGCCTATTCTTTATGTGTTGAATTTATGAAGTGACTGGCGCCATAGCATTTCATAGACCAATTGCGCATTCCCCATAGTAAAGACAGAGCCTAGAGGGCTGTACTTTTTTAATGGGCATTCCACTGTCTTACTTCATAAAATGATGTTGCTTATTCATTGAAATGTATTATATAAAAGAACCCTTCTTGCTGTAGCTACTGGACACAGGTTAAAATATTCTTAAATATGATCTATCTTAGCATCCAAACTCATTTTAATTTTATATGAACAGACTATGAACAGAAACAATTTATTGTATGAATTTTAATTTTTGTCTACTTAGAGAAAGAAGATAGGAACATTTAACAAATTATATAATTTATTTTCAAACGTATTCTTTAATATATGGTTTAGTGGTTATTCATGGTCACTTCTTAGGCAATATTTTGAAGCTTGGATAAATGAAGTGGAAGGAGAATTAGGTGAAAATGGAAGGCTTTGTTATTTAGAAAAATAGGAAAGAAGAGTATATCTGGAAAAATGGCATAAGATTTTTTTGAATAATAATTTGGACTCTAAATTGGAATTAGGAATACTGAAAAGCTGAAATCATAAATCATCTTGAATACTACGACAATTAAAAGAAAACTTTCTTCCTGACTTTGCCTAGTTAATACCTGAAGCATGAATTATGTGCTCCATTTTAGTTTTGACCATAAGAAATTTTACTAGTCATGTTTTGATATCACTGAAGTTTTTGAGAGCCATACTAAGCTTTGTGCCTTGTATCCTGTGATAGCATGTTCAGTGGGCTAATTATGTGGTATACAAAATAATTTATTCTTTTCATTTTTTATCTTATTATTGTAAAGCTCGACATAAACTTTGTGTTTTCATAAAGGAAAAAGTAAACAAATGGCACCAGTTGGCATTCTCTTTGCCATTCGTTATTTTATCAATCTTTATCGTATCTTCTCTTATTCTGTCCCTTTTCTCACTCTGGCAAATCTTACCAATCTTGGGTTTTTTTTATTATTATTGTTTTTGAAACTAGTAACTTTGATCCTGTCATTATACGTTTAGTATTGTTTCTTGACTTTTTGAAGAGGGAATTTCATCATATCTTAGCAAAGACTTTCAGGCTTTACAGTTGATAGTTTTATGTCATTGGCAATTTTTTGTCTTCTCCTTTCTGTCTACATATGCTTCTTTTAAGTCTTTAAAATAAGTTTTTTTACTAGTTTAGTATTAATCTCTGGGTACTTTCCATATTGGTCTTGATTTATTGTCTGTTAATTTTTAATCTACAACAGTTATTAAAGTTTCTCAGTAGCCTCTTATGAGAAACTGTATTTTTATAAAACAACCTTCTGAATTATATACATGGTTTTCTTTATCCACTCTTTGATTAATTCTTTCAGAGAACTCTAGTGTGTTAGGGACACATGGTTTAGACTTCTGGAATCCATGCTGTTTGTTCCTTATCAGATTACACTGCAACTCAGGTTTACTCAACTGTGGTTAGCCAAGCCTTCCATGTAACTGAAGGTCTGTTTATATCTTCTAGAGATGTGCTTTGCTGCACTTTAGCTTTCTCAGTGGAGAGCTACCTGTACCCTGGTGTCACAAACCTAAAAGTAGCCTTCTCTTTGGTTTTGAAGAATTCTGGATAATTCTGTGTATCCTTCTACCTATGAATTATTCTAGTTGCCTGTTAAGATTAGTTGTCTCCAAAGATTGCAGTCAAATCTTTGTAAGCTTGAGGATGCTAGGTACCAAAAAATGTACAGTTGTGAGAACAGTGATTTAAAAACATGTTGTTATTTCTGGAATTCTCAGATAATTTCTGAATATCAGACATTTTTTTACATTTTTCTCAATTAATTCAGTGTATAGACAATCTTATAAGGACCAAATGAACTGGTTTTTCATTTGTAATATGATTTTAATTTTTCTTAGACAAAAGGAGACCTCCCTTGACAATGTGCCCCCAATTTGTTGAATAGTAAAATAGACCATAGAATTTCCTCTAAAAGAATTTTCTCTCAACTTCAGCTGGTGGCTGTATATACAAGGTCATTGAAAGCTCAGCTTTGATGATTTTTGTCCTGATTCTTATCCCTCACTCTTTGTGCTTAGGTTTCTCCTTGCCAGTAGTAATGATCTATTTTATGAGGTATGTTCAAAGTTATAAATTGTAACATTCTTCTAAAAGCCCTAGAAGAAAGTAAAAATAGAACAGGAAATGTTGCTACCTTTGCTCTTCTACTTCTCAAGTCCTCTCTTTTCCATTTCAGAACATCTCATCCTAGTCCTGTACAAATTTAATTATTTTTCCTTTCTGTTTTGCCCAAGAGTTGCTTCTTGACATTACTGTATCATTCCAAATCTTTTTGCAGGTTTGTCATTGTCATTAAAGTGTCTAATTCTTAGGTTTCCCCTACATTTGCCAAAATGTTTGTCTCTTCCTCTTCTCTGATTTCCTTCTACCCTTTTATTTTTATTTTGCTTTCCACTGAATTTGTATATTTAGGATTACTTTCCACTGCTATTCTGAATAGGTATTTTACTAGCCATCAAAAAATCTAGGTCAAGGAAACTTTTCAGACCTCCTAATTACCTGGCGGTGACTGATAAAAAGGACTAAGTGATAGTGATTACTCCTTACGGTTTCTATTCACACTGGAATATATTCTTTCTGTCTTGGTTTATGGCATTGTAGAAGGAGAAGTGTTGGAGCTGATTCATTATCTAATTTCCAGTTTTCTGGTTTGGTTACCTCTTATCAGTGTTTGTTTCTATCATTTCAAGCAATATTATTGCCACCACTTCTAAGAATGATTACAGTCATATTTTATTTCTCAATCCTGTTTATTATTTATAAATATTATTTCAAGGGACAACTCAAAATTAATCTTTCTTCTCAGAGCAAAAGAGTAAGAGGATCTTAGTGTAGCACAAGAGAGGTCACCAGTTCTCTGACTACCACTCTTCCTGCTTGGCTGGTTGTCCTGGATTTTCTTAGACTCCAGGACAAAGTTATGATCAAGATTAAAATGTATTCCCCTGAGGCGTCAGACCTGCAATGGGAGCAGCCGTTGTTTAGCATTTGACCAGTAGCCGTGAGCACCTTCCGCAGAAATTTCCGTTTGCACAATGTTGTCTCTGCTTGCCTCTTAATTTTACCTGTTAGTCGACACATAGTTATCCCATCTTTGCATTTTTTTTAAATTTATTTTATTGCATTTTAGGTTTGGGGGTACATGTGAAGGACATGCAAGATTATTGCATAGGTACACACGTGGCAGCGTGATTTGCTGCCTTCCTCCCCATCACCCCATATTTGGCATTATTTGTAGGCAGGGCCTGAAACTTAAGTTGTTGGCCAAAGCTAGAGAAACAATCCTATATTGCAAACTATAGTTGATAAAGTGACTAAACTGTGACTTGGGGGACTTGACTTTTAGTTTTACCACACACAGAGGAATACACTGCCACTAAATATTTATAGTTGTGTGATTTAGGACAAAATCGTTTTTACCTTTCTAGGCTTTAGATTTCCAGTCTGTGAAATTGAGGAATTGGAATATAATATTGCCAAACTTGTGGTATGTGCTTTACATGTATTAGCTCATTAATTCTTATAATAACTTTATGATAGAAGAAATTCAGTATCTTTATTTTTTACATTTTACAGATAAGGAAACTGAGGATTAAAATGTTAATATCTGTCAAAATATTAACTATTATAATCTAGTAAGTGGTGTTGCTGGAACTTGAACGCAGAGCCCATGCTTTACCAGCTCTAAAGTTCTGTATATGTAAGAATGCCACAGATGAAGAGAATGTCAGTATAGGCTTTGTATAAAAAATTTATTTCCAGAGTAGAAAGGAATGAAAGTGATTAGTACCATTCTCTGAGATTGATCCAGAATGTATAATATCCTGCTACCTTCTAATAATATCTGTATTTCTCTCATTTTGTGTTTTATTTGCAAAGACATTAGTAAATCACAAGGTTTATTTACTCAGTATCTCCCTTATAATGTAACATATTTCATCACCTTTCTCTTCATTATAAAAGTCTAGGTTGCCGGGCGCGGTGGCTCAAGCCTGTAATCCCAGCACTTTGGGAGGCTGAGGCGGGTGGATCACGAGGTCAAGAGATCGAGACCATCCTGGTCAACATGGTGAAACCCCGTCTCTACTAAAAATACAAAACATTAGCTGGGCATGGTGGCGCGTGCCTGTAATCCCAGCTACTCAGGAGGTTGAGGCAGGAGAATTGCCTGAACCCAGGAGGCGGA